CTGTGAGGGCACAAGGGCAGCAGATGTAGGGGAGCAGCTCCACCTGCAATTTCCCATCTGAGCCGTGCAGCATCCTGACTTGCAACTATTCAGTTTTGCAGGGTCGAAATCCCGGACTTCCCTGTCTAATGTAATGACATTGAATGGATTGCAGCAGCTGAAGGAGCTGGCTCATCACCACCTTCTTAGGAGCTATCAGTGATGTACAACAAATGTTGGCATTGTTGGCAACCCTGACATCTCAGGAAAATATGAATAAATATCTGGACCTGGGGCAACCAGAAGAACTATCACATGATTAAAACATAGTGCAATTGTTCAAAGTGGAAGAACATAAATTAATATAAAATTATCGTCAGCGGTCACTCACTAGTGAGAATGATTGCCCACCTAGGAAATTCCATGCCACTGGTCATGGGATCTGTGCGATAACCCTGATCCCAGAGCCGCATCTCCCACCACACACCTGCCTGATGTTTCTGGGAGGCAGAATTGGTCCTTGATATTCTTTTCTATGGTTCTCTTTTCCATACTTCCTCTTGCAATGGGTGTTCTCAAAGAATTATGTCCCTTCAAACAGGAGGTTCGTTCTGAATGAGGGTCTCCGATGCATTGACTTCTGTATTGCATTCAGGAAGTTTTGAAACGCTTCATATGCCATCCTCTTGTTTGAGTGCCTTCCTGAAGATGATTTGCTTTGATTGTCCAAACGCACATATCCTGAGAATGAAGCCAGCCCAACAGATGTGGTTTCTGATGATCATGGCCTCGATGCTGGTGCTATTAGTTGCTTCCAAGACACTAATGTTATTGCACCTGTGCTCTCGGCTGATGTACATATCAAATATATCATAGAATCCTTACAGTGTGGAAGGAAGCCATTTGGCCAATCAAGTCTGCACTGACCCTCTGAAGAGCATCCCACACGGACCCCAACTGAATCCCTTCACCCCACATTTACCATGGCTAATCCACCTACCCTGAAAATCTCTAAATACTACGGACATTTTTTTTTCTAAGCATGGCCAATTCATCTAATATGCACATCTTTGGACTGTGGAAGAAAGCTGGAACACCCGGAGGAAACACATAGAAACGTGGAGAGAATGCGCAAACTCCACACAGTCACCCATGGCTGGAATTGAACTGGGTCCCTGGTGCTGTGAGGCAGCAGTGCTAACCACTGAGCAATTGTGCCTTTGCACTATAAAGTGTTTGCACTATGAAGTATTTTCTCTTCTATATTGGTGAAGTGCCCAAATATGCCTCACCCTAAATGCTGTTGTTTTCTTCCCCACATCAGATGGTCTTTCTTTCCGTCCTGAAGGTGGGTCAGTTATTCTCGGTTATAGCTCTTCACACATCCAATTATTTATTTAATTTAATTTTTGAAGCTGGACATTGAATATTTGGTAAGGTGCAGTTAAAAGGTTATTACGCACAATAGGAGATCATGGCATTGGGATTAATGTACTAAAATAACTGCACAGAGGCCGGTATCCAGTCACAAAGTCACCCTTTATTTACATGTGCACAGTACTTAACACTGGCCTGGCTTCCTCAAAGCCAGCTTTCAGAATGAACAGAATTCCTGAGACTCCTGTTATTATCTGTCAGCCATGGGTTCCCTGATTGGACCAGATTAACAGCCCCAGTCAGGGAACTCATATTCTATGAGGTCCACCTGGCTGACCTTGTTCAACTCACTACAGTACAGGCATGTACAGAAATAAAAGCAAAAACTGCTGGAGAAGCACAGCAGGTCTGGCTGCATCTTTGAACAGAGAATCAAAGTTAATGTTTCAAGTCCCTATGACTCTTCTTCAGAACTGCCAAGTGTATTTTATTTGGGCATGTACGGAAGATTGACTGGGGATCCTGACTCAGCACAATAGCTTGATCGCATGCCTCAGGTTTCACCAAACGTAGATCAAGTACAACATGAAAGAAGGAAAGACTTGCAGTTCTCCCTTCCATAACCTCAAGATGTCTCAAAAGTCTTTATAGTCAATGAAATACTTTGTACACTGTTGTAATTTGGGGACTGTACCAGCACACAGCCTAGTTCCACAAGCAGCAATGCAAAAATTACTGGAAAATACTTTTTATTGCATATTGCTTGAAGGATAAATATTGGCAATTCCCTTTCTGTTTGCCTAATATTATGCAGTCTTTTCATCTTCCTGAGAGGGCAGATGGTTTAATATCTCATCTGAAACATACCATCTCTGACAGTGCAGCACTCTCCCAGTACTGCACAGAGTGTCAGCATAAACATTGATATTCACATCTCTGCAGTGGGATTTGGATCTCCTTCTGATTCAGGCAAGAATCCTACCCACTGAGTCATTCTGGTCACAGCTGTCTAAATATTAGCAAACATTAAGAGTAACAAGATGCATCATGTTAGTTGGTCTCAGTCTAGGACAGATTGGAATGCCATCCTCTATATTATGCTGATTATCTATACTTCCAATTCAAATCACTACCCTCTCCAGTGTCCGTGCACATTGTGTGGTAACATGCCCAGAAATAGAATCTGACTTTATATGAAGAAGGGAAAGTCGGCAACAGTTATGTACTAATGTGGTGTGAGCTATGACTCCTGACACCACTCTCGCAATTAAATCATAAGATTCCTCATTCAAGTTCCATTCCAGGGCTCAAGTACAAAAACCTGGGCTGGCTTTCATGTGCATTATTGAAAGAGAGCTGCAATGTTTTTTTCTGTATTCATTTGTGGGATGTGGGCATCGCTGGCTGGCCAGCATTTATTGCCGTCCCTAGTTGCCCTTGAGAAGGTGGTGGTGAGCTGCCTTCTTGAACTGCTGTAGTCCGCATGCCGTGGGTCGACCTACAACGCTATTAAGGAGGGAATTCCAAGATTTTGACCTAGCAACAGTGAAGGAACGGCAATATATTTCCAAGTCAGGATGGTGAGTGGCTTGGAGGAGAACTTGCAGATGGTGATGTTCCCGTATGTCTGCTGCTCCACCATTCAATATGATCATGGCTGATCTCATCTCGGCCTCAGCTCCACTTTCCTGCCCACTCTCCATAACTCTTCAACCCATTTCTCATTAAAAATCCATTCATCTCCTCCTTAAATTTGCTCAATGTTCTGCCATCCACCACAATCTGGAGAAGTGAATTTCATAGATTCACAACCCTTTGAGAGAAGTAATTCTTCCTCATCTCGGGTTTTAAATCTGCTAGCCCTTATCCTGAAACTGTGACTTCTCATTCTAGATTGACCCAAATGAGGAAACTTCCTTTCTACATCTACTTTGTCAATCCCATTTAGCATCTTATATCTGTCAATTCAATCTCCTCTCATTCTTCTAAACTCCAGAGAGTATAGGCCTAAACTGCTCAGTCGTTCTCCATAAGACAAAACCCTCATCTCTGGAATCTTCTCTGAACTGATCTGCCTGTACTGCTCGTAAACAAAGCTTTTCACTGTACTTCGGTACACGTGACAATAAATCAATTAATCAGTCAAAAATAAAAACTGAACGAACTGTGGGTGCTGTAAATCAGGAACAAAAACAAATTTTGTTTGTTTGAGAAGCTCAGCGGGTCTGGCAGCATCTGAGCTTCTCCAGCAACTTCTATTTTTTGCTCCATAATCAATCAATAAATACAAGTGCATCCCTCCTCAAGTAAAGGGGTCAAAATTGTCCACAGTACTCCACCATTGCCTTGTACAGTTTGCAGCAACACTTCCCTACTTTTGCACTCTATTCCTTTAGCAATAAATGAAACAATTCACCTTCCTTTACCTGCTGTCTCTAAATACTGGTTTGCTGTGATTCATGCACAAGGATCCCCAGGTCCCTCTGCTCTGGAACCATGATGCAATCATTCTACCAAAGGCGATATCAAAGCAACACATGATCAAATTGATGTTTCCTTTGCATTCACTCTCATTTCCAAATTCACTGTTCTATTGGCAAATAATGGAGGATTTTAGTTTTGTTCCTTTTAATGTAAGTCACGGGCGATTGCAGGTCAGAGAGAGTAAGTTAGTTGGCTTACTTCAGGTTTAGTGTATTGGTTGTGCGAAGGAGCTCATAAATGAGACACATTTTCATTTTTGTTGTGTCTTACCTCACAACATCTTCTAAATGCCATAATGAGTCATTGAATAGATGGTTTGCAATCAGAGATACTTTTTAAAGGTTCGAGGTGGGGAGTGTGTTTGAAGGTGAGGAAAGACAGAACACAGAGAGCAGCAGATAGGGTTATTGATCAGGGAGCGATACAGGCATTAAAATCACTAACTGGGGCATCAGAAAAAAACTTCTGAAATAAACAGAAAAAGTGGCCAAAGAAAGTGGTAAGTTAAACTGTGATCGTTTGAAAAAGAACTTTGGAAAGAGATTTGGTGAGGGAATCAATGCTGAGCAAACCGAATGAATGCCTGCGATAAGTTAGTGAACTGAAACATTGTCCCATCAAGTATTGTATGAAGAAATGTGAAGAATTTAAAATGTGTTGGAGGAGATGAAATAAATGACAGATAAATAGATGTGCAAAGGTCAGTAATGCCTACAAAATGTTAGTAACCTGTACGGAGAGTGATATACATTAATAAGCTTCTCTTCCTGGTGTAGCTTGTTTCCGAGGTAGCTTCGTGAAATTAAGATTTGATACATGTTCCAGCTGCAAAGGGTGTGTAGCTAAAATTTGAGATCTTGCCTTTTGTCCCTCCATCGATTGTGACAACCTGATGACATTGCATCAGAACACGAAAGCTGAGGATCATATTTTCACCATAAATTTCCATTGGAAGTATTGCAGTCCCATTTCAAAAGAAAGCAGTGCCAGATGAACAAATATATGCGCCCTGCATCACATTGAGATTAATGGAATGTGGAATCCTGCCAATTAATGATGTTCACAGCATGCCAAGATCCTACTCCAGGGGATTGACTTGGCTATACTGATCTGTTGTAGTTTATCAAGGCTGAAAGCGGCATATTTTCTTTCTGTTGCAGATACATGACGGATGGTGGGTTGGGTCTTTACACACGTCGACTTAACCGCTTGCCAGATGGAATGGCCGCTGTTCGAGAGAACGTCCAGCGCAACGCATCTGTGGGGATGGGTGATGCAGACAGGTAAGAGTCTTGTTGTTTCAAGTTGGGACAGCGCTATCCACAGTTGCAGAAGTTCCTTAAGGAGTCAGCACTTCTAAACTGAAATGTAACAAACTGAAATGTGCACAACAGGACACCAACCCTGAGCTGGTTGAAGCGAGGAAGTTTATTGTGGCTGTTTTGTCTGTCATTGTGTTTTCCTTTTGCTACGATTTGTTCTGTTCCATAATTATGAGTGAATTAACCTTAATGCTTTCACTCTCTGTATAGACTAAAGGCAGGTACTGTGAATGGAATTAAGGTGCAGATGAACAGCTATTGAATTGACAGGTGGAACAGACTAGAGGGGATGATAGGCCTACTCAGCTCTGGGTGAAATGATCTAAGTCTATTCCTATTGACATTTATGCCCACATTGAGCAATTGATCTCTGTGAGAACTAATTGCAAAGTAAAGAGTCACCATATTTTGATTAAAGTGCATGTACCTTGCATTGCTGTAAGGATTGTAGCCAAGAATCACGTCATGATGTCTAAAATAGCCAGAGTTTAGGTGACAGTCCTGAATGAGTTAGAATGAGTTGTTTCCACCCAAGCAGGTTACACAGGCAGGTGTGAGCATGGAAAACCTATCTTAAAAATGCGATTTCCGACCTGGTGGTCAAACTGGTGAATCTGGTGAATTTATCTCATACCTGAGACTTGAGGGTCTGCCAATGGCAAAGGAATTAATGAAATAATATAAAGTCAGTGAATTTCAAAGAGTACAATTTGGCAGGAGTTGTTTACACCTGCAGGGAGGAAGGCATTGGGACTGCACTGAAGAAAAAGACTATTCATTTGAGGAGACCTTTCCTCCGTTGCAATGCAGTACATTACATGCCTTTCTTGTTAAAATATTTATTTAAAGTGTTGTTTTAAGCAATACAAATCTCTCAAAGTCTATATTGTTGAAACAGTTGAGTTTCTAACTGATATGCTACACAGAGCGGTCTGGCAGACGCTGTACTACGGGAAATGACCTTTCACAAGTGCCAGGAAAATGTCAATATTTGTCTAATTTTATGAATTGAGATCATATTGAGTTTGCAACTTTCCCACCTCCATGACACCAGCTACTGGTTTTGTATGGTGTAATCGATCCTTCAAAAACCATTAGTATCAATTACTGTTACAGCAATGCACTAGAATTCAACACCTTTTCCCAGGAACTGCGGCTGGTTTAAGTAAGGAAGGAGCCCCTTCAGCTTTCATTTTCCAGTGGAAACAATGTCTATGGGGCTAAACTGTTGCTTCAGATAAGGTACAGGTAAAGTCGCCATAGTCCCACTCCCTCATTAGAGAGAGACAAGTGGTGATGGCACCACACCCGAGCTGGAGATGGAGAAGGCGAGTCATAGAATCTCTACAGTGAGGAAAGAGGCCATTTGGCCCATCAGGTCCACACTGACCCTCCAGAGAGCATCCCACCCAGACCCAGCCACACGTTGTCCCCATAACCCTGCATTTCCCATGGCTAGTCCACCTACCCTGCGTATCCCTGGACACTGTGAATCAATTTGGCATGGCCAATCCATCCTAACCTGCATATCTTTGGACTGTGGGAGGAAACCAGAACATCTGAAGGAATCCCATGCAGACACAGGGAGAATGTGCAAACTCCACACAGACAGTCACCCGAGGCTGGAATCGAACCCAGGTCTTTGTGCTAAACGCTGAGTTCTTTGTTGTGACTGATGGACTTTTGATCTTAAAAATAGAACCAAACTGTAAAAAAAAATTCTGCTGAATTTACAACCACAAATGTCAAGGTACCCAGCCTAATTGGTAAAAGTCCGTCCCATATTTTGGTGAAGTGTTGTGCATCTTGGTATTTCACCCGTTCTGGGAAATAACTGTATGAGATAATCTGGCTTGCCCTGTACTGTGATTCTTCTCATAGCCAAAGAGCCATCAAAGATTTTGACTCATGCCTGAAGAATGGCTTCATGAGGGCCAGGTGGGAGTTTCATATTACAGGCAAAGCCAGCAACCAATGGGAGGGGGTGGCAAAAGACTATAGCCCTGAACCTCTTTCATGGTCATTCACATTTTTAAATTAAACCTTAGATCTGGCTATAAAGAAAATTATTAAACTTATTTAATCAAATGTTTTATTAATGCACATATTCCAAGACTGATGCAGTCATTAATTCATCTCAGTGTGAAGTGTGACTGTGGATAACCCCAGGTTTTCAGTGACATTTTGAAATGAAAGGATTATGAAGAAAGCAGAAACCATGCAAGTTGAAAATTAATGAGATCACAGTGAAATGTAATAACATTATGGAACCCTTGGAAAGGAATTTTACTCTGAGTTTCTCAGTATTTGAAATAAGGGGTTTGATAATGATCTCATTCTGTTTTCTGATGTATTGGATTCTTGCTTTTGATTTCTTTAATCTCATCGGTCAGATATAAACTGCTTTATATTTTCTGAAGGATGTCACTGATAATTAAATCCACAAGCCTTGGATAATCATGAGCTGCTTCTAAATTGTGCCAAGACATGTACTCATGGCATCAACTCCTGGTACACACATCCCCGTTTCTGACGTCGACTCAATAAAGAAACTTGCTCAGATTAGTTCAGGGCAGTCCAGGACCTAGACAGATTTGTTCACCGTTGCCTCTCTCAAGTTGCTTGTTGGAGTATGAGAATTGATAGGACGTAGTTGTAAGACTTTCAGGTGTATGTGCGTGTGAATGTATCATAATGTTTGTGCACACGTGTGTGTGTTTTCCAGTGTCCCCACGTGTGCAAACATGTATTTTCGTGCGTGTGCACATACACGTGTGGATGTGTTTGTGTGCAAGAGTCTGTGTGTGCACATGTGTGTATGTATGAGTGCATATATGTGTGTATTTGTGCATGTGTACATGTATGTGCACATATGTGTGTCTGCATACGCGTATGCCCATAGGGTGTGTGTGCATGCACACTGAGCAGAGCAATTATAACCTGCCTAGGATCTGCATCAACATCAGAACTCAGTGGAGACTAGAGATGTAACCTGAGGCAATCCTGGTTTTGGGCTCCAGCTGGAGCACCATCAGGGAAAGATGTATCTACCATCAAACAAATCGATTTCTCAGCTCAAAGCTGTAGACCTTTTGGATGATATTTAAAAGAGATAGGGAAGGGGCTTTCTGGGAATGTGGGAGTCTCTTGTGTCACCTACACATCGAATTAACTGTTGTTCAGGCATTTAATGGGGCAGCAGAATGCCTTCCCTGGGACCGAGGTTGACTATTAACTCCCTCTGGGCAATTAGGGATGGGCAATAACTGATGCCCTACATAGTGGCACCCCTGTGAAATAACGAAAAGAAAACTCTTCCCATCAATCCTGTCAAGTCCACTAAGAATCTTGTATGCTCATTACCTCTCATTCTTCTATGTTCCATCAAGTACATGTCCAAAGAGGGGTAGGGGGCTTAGCATTAAGTAAAGTGAAGAGGTTTTAATCAGGCCCCTCAGCCTTCCAAATGTGGCACTGAGTGCATTTGAATGACGCCAACCACCTCCGCTCTTGAAAGTCTGTAATGAAAACTGAAGATGGCAATGCCTCGACCTGTCACAGCCCTGCCCAATTAAATGACCGTGCCACCTAACTCACCTTGGGAAGGGCATACATTCCACCCTCTGTGTGGATCATCCAAACATTCAGATACTGCAGTCTCAACATCAATGCACAGTGCAATATATTTAACCCTAACACTATCTCTCAATGCTGCCAGCAATAATATCAAACCTAAACTGACTCCCGGGTAAATTGGAATAAGACCAGTCTCTCAGAATGGACCCTCTGTCTGGCATCCTGTTGCAAAATCAGAAGACACATGACACCAGGTTGTAGTCCAACAGGTTTAGTTGAAATCACACAAGCTTTCAGAGTGCAGCCCCTTCGTCAGGTGCAGTGAGAGAGCAGGGCACACAGACACAGGGTTTATAGGCAGAGAGATCAAAAGATCATACAACTGGTGGGAGTGAAGTATCAGATGGTAAGTCTCTGCTGGTGACCAAGAGGGTTAGACGGTGAGTAAAGTGTCAACAGCTAAATAACCAGCGAAAGGATGATTTGTAATCTGATTAAGTGAGACAGAGAGATAATTGCAAAACATTAAAAATAAGGTGGTGCTGGAGACACTGAATGACTGGAATCACATGCCAAATTCAAAACTGTGCAAACTAGTTAAGGTCGAGAGATCATAACAATTTATCAATGAGATGGTGTCGAAACAGGACAGTAAGGAAGATTTTACAGATACGGAGCAGTGAGGTGGGGTCACATGTAGCATGACATGAACCCAAGATCATAGTTGAGGCTGTCTTCGTGGGTACGAGCTTGGCTATCAGTTTCTGCTCGGCGATTCTGCGTTGTTGTGTATCTTGAAGGCCGATCAGAGGCTGAATGTCCTTGACCGCTGAAGTGTCCCCTCACTGGGAGGGAACATTCCTGTCTGAAGATTGTTGCACAGTGTCCATTCATGCATGGATGGCTACTGCCCTAGGTTCAATGTGTATGGTCAAGCCATCAGGAGATGTGTTAACACCAGATTCATTAGCCGTACTCGCAAGGTAGCACAGGACATCATCCAAGAACAACACAACACCATCCGTGTTCTCAAGACTAATCGCAACATTGTCAACAAACCAGCAGATAAAGAAGAAGCCATCGCCATACAGGTTCGAACAGACTACTACAAAGAAATATTCAGGCAACTGAACAATCGGGGAAAGCTACAGACAGCTACCTGCCGATCCAACCACAGAACACACCCGTCAACTCAACAGACTGATCAAGACTTTTGATCCAGACCTTCAGAGTACCCTACGCACTCTCATCCTCCGTGCTTCTCACGTGGGGGACTTCTACGGCCTTCTGAAGATACACAAAGCCAACACACCTGGACATCCCATCGTATCAGGCAGTGGGACCCTGCGTGAGAACCTCCCTGGCTATGTCGAGGGCTTCTTGAAACTCATTGTACAAGGAATCCCCAGCTTCAGTCATGACCCTACAGATTCCTTACAGAAACTCCGCACCCATGGACCAGTCGAACCAAGAACATTTCTCATCACAATGGACAGCTCTCTACACCAGCATCCCCCACGATGACAGCATCACTGCAACAGCCTCAGTACTCAATACCAACGACTGCCAATTTCCAGACGCCATCCTACAACTCATCTCGACGACAATGTCTTCACCTCCGACACCTCCGACAACTGGTTCTTCATTCAGACACACAGAACAGCCAAGGGGACCAGATTTCCTCCCCAAATGCCAACATGTTCAAGCACAAATTCGAGCAAGACTTCTTTGCTGCACAGGTCCTCTGACCAACGATATACACCAGATACATTGACGATATTTTCTTCCTTTGGACTCATGACGAGAAATCACTGAAACAACGAAATAATGATATCAACAAGTTTCATCCCACCATTGGACTTACCATGGACTACCCTTTAGAATCAGTCTCATTCTTGGACACATGTATCTCCATCAAGGACGGACACCTCAGTACATCACTGCATTGCAAGCCCACGGATAACCTCACAATGCTGCACTTCTCCAGCTTCCACCCTAAACATATTAAAAAAGCCATCCCCTGTGGACAAGCCCTGTACATACACAGGATCTGCTCAGATGAGGGGGAACATGATGGACACCTGAAAGTTTTGAAGGGCGCCCTCATAAGAATGGGATCGGATGGTTAACTCATTGAACGCCAGTTCCAATGTGACACAGTGAAAAACCGCAATGACCTCCTCAGAAGACAGACACAGGATTCGACCGATAGAGTACCCTTCGTCATCCAGTACTTCCCTGGAGCAGAGAGGCTACACCATGTTCTTCGCAGCATTCAGCATGTCATCGATGATGATGAGCATCTCACCACGATTTTCCGCACGCCTCCACTTCTCACCTTCAAACAACCACCAAACCTTAAAAAGACCATCGTTTGCAGCAAACTACCTAGCCTTCAGGACAACATCGACTACAACACTATACCACCCTATCATGCCAATCTCTGCAAGACATGTCAGATCATCAACATGGACACTACCGTCACACATGGGAACACCACCCGCTACATGCACAGCAGATAGTCATGTGACTCGGCCAACGTTGTCTATCTCATACGCTGCAGGCAAGGATGTCCCGAGGCATGGTATATTGGCGAGACCATGCAGACGCTACGACAACAGGTGATTGGACACCGCACAACCATCGCCAAACGGGGATGTTCCCTCTGAGTTGGGGAACACTTCAGTGGTCAAGGGCATCCAGCCTCCAATCTTTGGGTAAGCATCCTCCAAAGCAGACTTCGAGATACACAACAACGCAGAATCACCGAGCAGAGACTGATAGCCAAGTTCCGTACCCACGAAGACAGCCTCAACTGTGATCTTGGGTTCATGTCATGCTGCATGTGACCCCACCTCACTGCTGTCTATCTGTAAAATCTTCCTCACTGTCCTGTTTGACACCATCACCTTGATAAATTGTTATGATCTCTCAACCTTAATTAGTTTGTACAGTTTTGAATTTGGCGTGCGATTCCAGTCATTTAGTGTCTCCAGCACCACCTTATTTTTTAATTGTTTGTAATTATCTCTCTGTCTCACTTAATCGGATTATAAGTCATCCTTTCGCTGGTTATTTAGCTGTTGACACTTTACTCACTGTCAAACACTCTTGGTCACCAGCAGAGACTTACCATCTGATACTTCACTCCCACCAGTTGTATGATCTTTTGATCTCTCTGCCCTTGATCTCTCTGCCTATAAACCCTGTGTCTGTGTGCCCTGCTCTCTCACTGCACCTGACGAAGGGGCTGTGCTGTGAAAGCTTGTGATTTTGAATAAACCTGTTAGACTATAACTTGGTGTTATGTGACTTTGTCCACCTCAGGCCAATACCGGCACCTCCACATCGTGGCTTCCTGTTGCATTTACACCAGTGCGACACTGGTGTGAAGTGCTACATCTATTTGTAGTGTGTATCCCACTGCCTTCTTCCAAAGCCTAACTGTTGCACCAATGGACTTGCTGATCCCCCAGTAATACTAACGCCTGTAACCCTTCTGGTAGCTTGTAGCCTGGGTGCAGTTTAAGCTGCTTGATTATTTTTCAGAACACAGATTGGTGCCAGTAAAATAAACCCGCAGCAGGATGAAATGCTCATAACTTAAATTAAAGAGGGATTTGTCATGCTGTAACATTTATACAGCCTCATATATTCCTTTTGGTTTTCAGTTGTACTTTGGACCTGCCTTTTAGTTACCCTGGAGCTGAAGTGATTAGCCTGTTTTTGAACTGGTTTTGCTTAATCAGCTGGAGCCAGGAAGCACTGTTTGATCACTCCACGTGTGCCTGATACTGTTCTCACTTGATGTGCATATTTGTATCTGTAATACAGATCACTGAACAGTTAAACCATTTCACATCTCTTTAGCTCACCCTGGGTGAGGTCAGTGCAGAACTGTCTGGGAGCCAAGGACCTCCCCTGTCTGTGTAACACACCCAACACTGCTTTTCAAAACCCAAACCATCAGGGGAGCTTCTGCTATTCGCTTCAGGCCATGTCCAAAAGTCCCTAGTGGAGCCAGGAACTTTCAAACAAGTCCCAAACATGTTTCAGAGATGTTTCAATAAAATCTCACTCAAAATATGATAGCAACAGTTAAGAGGCAAGGCAGGAAGTAGAGGGATATGGACCATGTGCAGGGCGAATTCCCTTCACAGTTTTCCTCTCCACCAATAATATCAATGTTTTATGTCTATGTCTGTCTGCATGTGTGTGTCATGGGAATGTTGAAAGGAGGTTAGATTCTTAACTCATAGAGTCATATGTTGACATGCATTATATTTATTTACCTGTATCTAGAATCTATTTATTTGTAATAAATGGTAATCCTTGTTAAGTTCAGGAACCTGTTGCGTGCTTTCAGTCAACGTGGGTCTATCAGACAGATAAATTGCAGACTTTGATAAAATCTTTAACTTTGTGGCGACTCCAGGAATAGTGGGGTTTGAGTTCCAGTGTTACCCCGGTGAGACCTGATAGCATGTTGATTTTAGACAGTAGCTTTTGTTTCAAATTGTCTTTAGCACATTCCCGGAGGACTTGTTTGTGATTATTATAATGTGGTTTGCTGTCAAGAGTTCATTACTTGCTTCCAGCTTCTATGTACTTTTTTTTCACACATTTAACTCTATTAGCATAATATTCAGACCTTACAAGTTTCAGTCTCCCTCCAGCATCTCAGCAGAGTGAGTGAGACAGAATTAATTTGATGGTTGAAGGACAGGTTAATGGAATCATTGGAACTCGCAGCTGGGCTCACTTATTACACAAATGACAAAAGCCTTCATTCCTACGAGTAACTTTTTTCTTATTTTGACCCAGTGACTCATGATTGAAGTTCACAAAGTAGATTTAAATGCTGCTTTAATCAACCTTTTCAGGCACACAATTTCAGAGCAGGAAGGACTTGATGCTGGACCTCCTGGTCTGGAGGTAGAGACATTACCACTACTCAATCAGAACCTAAAATCACAAACCACGCTAACGTTTCAGAGATGGTAGGAACTGCAGATGCTGGAGAATCTGAGATAACAAGGTGTAGATCTGGATGAACACAGCAGGCCAAGCAGCATCAGCGGAGCTGGAAGGCTGACATTTTGGGCCGAGACCCTTCTTCGCACTAAACAACTGCACCTCCCAGTCGCGAACCATTTCAACTCCCCCTCCCATTCCGCAGACAACATGTCTATCCTGGGCCTCCTGCAGTGCCACAACGATGCTACCCGAAGGTTGCAGGAACAGCAACTCATATTCCGCTTGGGAACCCTGCAGCCCAATGGTATCAATGTGGACTTCACAAGCTTCAAAATCTCCCCTCCCCCTACCGCATCCCAAAACCAGCCCAGCTTGTCCCCGCCTCCCTAACCTGTCCTTCCTCCCACCTATCCCCTCCTCCCACCTCAAGCCCCACCCCCATCTCCTACCTACTAACCTCATCCCACCCCCTTGACCTGTCCGTCCTCCCTGGACTGACCTATCTCCTCCCTACCTCCCCACCTACACTCACCTTTACTGGCTCCATCCCTGCCTCTTTGACCTGTCTGTCTCCTCTCCACCTATCTTCTCCTCTATCCATCTTCTATCCGCCTCCCACTCTCTCCCTAATTATTTCAGAACCCCCTTCCCCTCCCCCATTTCTGAAGAAGGGTCTAGGCCCGAAACATCAGCTTTCCTGCTCCTCTGATGCTGCTTGGCCTGCAGTGTTCGTCCAGCTCTACACCTTGTTATCCCACGCTAACGTTTGGTGCCTTAACCATCAATTGCCACTGTTTTAATTTGTTTCTTATTTACCGAGTATAGTTTTTAAATCTGAGGAAGTGTTAGCAGTATAATCAAAATAATTACATTACAAAATACAACACGCACAATGTGTTTGCTGAAATTAAACATCTAAAAATACAGCAAGTATTTCAGGAAATAAATGGGATTACTATCCCAAAGCTGTCTGAACTGGGCAGCTCCATGTTTGAAACTGCCAAGAAAAACATCATAATTGCAAATAGGGAAATAGCTTAGTGATTGTTTCAGATAAATTTGGAATAGCTTCAGAATCAACAAGAATTAAAATGTATCCTTTATAAGTTACTAA